CCTCCACGTCTACTAGACCCAAGCTACCAAGTGTTGATCTCAACACAATCTTATAATATATGAACTCTGGATGATCATTGCTTTGCTTCAAGACCTAACCCACTTGAGATACTCCATCTCTCATGACTCTTGTGCATCATGATGAACCATTGTGGAACCTTGCAGTGACGTGTCTAAGCTGAATACGTTTGTTTCTTGGCGTGAAGGTCCAATTCAACAACACCATCAAAACCAGTGGAACATCTCAGGATGCCGACGCCTGATTGTTTCGGGAGTGTGACGTGACACCCTTGCCTTGCCGTTTGCTGATCTTTTCTGTGGTTTTTTCAGCATGGTGAACCCCCGGCTGGAGCCGAAACGGCCTGACCGGTGACCTTCGCAACGGCACGGACCAAGCGGGCGGCAGCGGGCGGCCGACTCTGACATCCCCTGACATCAGGAGTTCGCTTGCGAGGCGGGACACGGCATGGCACGGCGGTGGTCCTTGTTGGCAATGAGCACGAGACCATCTTTCCTGTGGCGACGTGGCCATCCTCTGGACGATCTGTGGGCACGTACCATGCGTCCAAAACGTACCATCACATCCTTGACCGGCCAAGCGTTGGTTCTTTGGGTGCAAAGAAACAAGTGCACTATATATTAAGGGGGGGTCTTGACAGTGATTGGTGGTGGTCACCCTCTTGATATGTCCAGGGGATTCCAGGGGTATGTATTAATATGGTCCTAATCTCTACAGGGCATGTGCAAAACGTGATGCGCTGTCACAAGCAGCATGCAGTTGGGCCTCGCGGTCTCACCACTGCTGTGCCCGTGTTGGGCTTCGGTGTTGCATTGAAAAGGCCAAAAAAACATCAGGATGATGCATGATGTAGGATGATGTAGGGCATGTAGGAGCTGTCATGAGTCATGAAATCATTACCAACTAAATGGTGAACTTCTTATAGCCCATTTTGCTGGGGCGGTCACCAACCGGCTGGTCACCTCGCCGTCCAGCACTGGCCTTAGGAAGGAGGCAGCACTCCGAAGAAACCTCAGGCGGTACCAATTCACACACGACCTGTTTGCTATCCTTGGGCTCATTAGTTGGGTTGGGTTGGGGCGGACAGGTCTGGTCAATCTTCCAGTCCCAGACAGGTCGTGTCTGGCTTTGTAACACAGTCTCTTGAGAATCAATGAATCAATGAAGGATCAACTCAATATTTCGATGGATCCATACTACGGTCCCGATGGCCAAGAAGGGCCATCATAAGCAATATGTTCCTTCTGGACTCAGTATCAAGCTCCACCAGCATGGCACGGTTCGCAATCTGCACGTCGTTGTTGGAAGCACGTGGCTGGGCGGTTCGTGAGGCGTTGTGCGATGCTGCCACACTTAAACCTGCACTGAGATCTAGCCACAGTGGCGTTAGGTTTTTCGACATGTTCTCAAACTAGGACAACATCGACAAAACCCATCGATGAAACACAGCGAGAAGGCCCGAACAGGCCTTATGGACCTTCATCGGCAAGAGTGGGAAGTTAAAGACGATGCGCTGCCATGGGTGGAAGACTCTCTGAAGATGTGGGGCTCAAAACAATTCCAAAGGATGCAATTTGGATCCAAATCAAAATCATGTATAGACTGTTTATTAAACCCCTAGGCATGGAGATGTAACAATTCCGGAGAAATTCGCATGTTTTATTCATCCACCGTCGATTGCTCGCTTTTGCTTTCTTCAAGATGCAGAAGGGTCCCCCGGTGCTATGACCCACAGCCAAAAGTCTTCCGGAAGACAAGGCCCCGCCGACCGCGGCGCTCTCTCCGGAAGAAGTCGGGCCTCAAAGGCTTCGGTGCCCTTCAAGGGCCCAGCCCCCAGTTGTGTGGCATCCACCCCACAAATGACCTGCAACTGCTGAGAAACACACGGCGGTGGTGGGGATTTTTGGAGTCATTCAGGTCTGCCAGGCATCACTTGCTTAGTTCTTAGTTACAGTGTGATACAATCTAATGTGCATCATTTATTTCATACTGCCCGGATGTTGAACAAACACGGATTGGGCCGGAGATACATGTTCGACGTCTCTTTTCGAGTTGGATATATACCAACATGGGTGGGACTCAAGTCCTCTCGCATATGTTCAATTGATCAATTGTATGGGGGCAACTCAACTCTATTGAGAAACCCTCGACCAAATAGGACAACCCCCTGCTATGAATTTGGCTATGGATGGTTTTGCCTTATGTTTGCACATCATTTTCCAGCTTCACGAATGGAAAGCTCATGTGGCCTACCTCAACTTCTACGTTTCTCAAAGGTTCCTCATTCTGATTCCATGATTCCTCTCGGACGAAGTCGGCACCTGAACCCCCAGTTCTTTCAGCTGCTGAAGGCGTTGCTGCACTCCTCGGCTTTTGTCTTTGTTCGACTATAATACCAAAATGGCGGATCGATGCCAATGTGACGTGTGAAGAAATCATCACGAACGAAGGAAGATGAACGAAGGAGCCGAACCAAGAGTCCAATGACTTCCCCGCTCGCTGAAGGAAGAACAGCCGAAGGAAGATGAGCCGCACCCTGTACCTTTTTTGCTCGTTTGCTACTGTGAGTATAGAAGTCTGACTAAATACATTCTCTTGCACGACGCCTGCTGCGGGACATGCGAGGCACCAAGAAGTATTGCAAAAGAACGCGCGTCGCGCTTAAGGCGGCACAACAAGGCACATGGCATTGGCACGTCAAAGCCACTATGGCCCTGCTTGTCCAAGCAGTCCAAATAATATCCAGCAACGGCTTCCCGACTTTAAGCCAAGAGCGTGCCAGCTTGGAATCAAAATTGCCTTCGGATCATCTCAGATCTCCTCCTCTGCCTTTCCCTTTGCTTCCTGAAATTCCGCATTCTTCGGAATTCTTCCCAAGATTCTCTAAGTCTTGCGCAGTCTCTGTCAGAACTTCCTCCTCAAAGTCATCATCTTCAGGGTAGGAATCCAGAAGGTCGAGTTCTTCAGGCATAAGGACTTCAAAGCTTTGCGGATGATGGCCAGGGTAGCCATGAAGAAGGGAAATACAACTCCAGTCTTTGATGGCTTTCAGGCCACAGAGAATGCCAAAACAAATCAGCTTAAATGAAGGTGTAGAGGTGCACACGGTTCCGCACGCTGTTCCACCACCTTCACTGGCACTTTTCAATCAACCTTGGGAAGTGCCCTGGTTTCATAAGTTGTCAAAGAGATCACATGCGTGATGCTGGGCACGGTTGAGGCCACTGAAAGTCTGCGCAGACTGGCAGGGTGATGGCCCCACGCACAAACAAGTTCAAGTGGTAGCCTGGGCCCTTCTGCAGGTTGATCGATGGCCTATTCACGATCACACTGATCAGATTGGCCGGTCGATACCATTGGGATTCACGGTCCATGGGCACTTCTCGCCAGATGCGACGACCAAGTTCGGGGAGAAACTGGTGTCCACTGAGAGCATCCGAAGACATAACTCACTGGCCCAGATTGCTGCCAAGGCCGAAGCTGAAACAAGAAAGATTGTCACAGAAAAGTTTGCCAACAAGCTCCGAATTGGTCGCAGCATCCAAGGTGTTCTGCGCATGCATCCCGGACAAGTAGGTTGCCAGTCCGAAGGTGTAGATAAACAGCAAAGGTGTCCTGCGGGCGGGTTTGAAGCGTCGTGCATTCTTTGTCGATGATTGGACGGACGCCTTCACGGGAGAAAACGTGCAAAAGTCGCTCTCCTTCCTGGATGGCACAAAAGGCCAGCTTGGAGTGTTGGAGATGATCACGTCAACGGCCATCAGTGGTATTCTCTTCGCAACATTCTCGGGGCAGCCGCTGTCCATTCTTGGGGCAACTGGCCCTTCTTTGGCGTACACTCTTGTGGTCTTCGATCTATCGGAGGCCATGGATCTTGAGTTCATGCCATTTTACTTTTGGACTTGTATGTGGCGCTCGGTCTTCACAGTCCTGTTGGCTTTGTTCGACCTTTGTGCGCTGATGAAGCACGTGACGATGTTCAGCGAAGACATCTTTGCTGGCCTCATTTCCCTGATTTTCATCATTGATGGCGCGAGGCCCAAAATCAACAACTTTGCTGACGGAGTCATGCCACTGACAAATTGCGCCGAGGTCCTTCTTTCCACCGTTAGCGATGTAGACCGACTGGCTTAACGCATCATTGCTGCGGCCTCCGACATGCTGACGCTGAAGTGGCCGATCCTGCAACGTTGATCCAAGCCAAGCTCTCAAGACAAGCCAAAAGGGCTGCACGAGCAGTACGGTGTCTCACTGTGTCTCACTTGCTTCTGCCTGGAAGTCTCTGTCGCTTTGCATGTTGTCATGCGGTGCAACATGAAGTCATGCTGAGAGCCCAGCCAGCGTACTGCTCAATGCACTCTGCCTGCCCGCGCAGTCACCACATGGAAGCATTCTACTGCCAACGCCGGTTGGACTTTGGCACAATGCGGGCTATCTATCACAAAGGATCAAGGACAGTGGAACACACTGTACACAACTCAAACCGATTCCGCAAACAAAAGCGCGACCGCGATTCATGCAATTCTGCTGTGTCCCTGAGAATTGGCTGCAACTGTGCTGCTTCAATCACTTAAGACACGTCCAAATCTTCAACAATTGCATTTCGATATATGTCGATTCATGACCAAATGCGACCAGAGAGCACATTCCCTGACCATTGTCGCTCTCCTCTTCAAACGTGCCCGACCGACTCGTGGCGACCGGCCGCAAAACCCGAGCGACGGGCATAGACCGGCGGTATCAGACCCAACACTGGGTCGATCGAAAGTGATCGAAAACAGGAATCAAACAAGAATCTGTTCAAAAGAAGATACACAGTAAACAAAGAAACTGTTTGTATCTGTTTGTGGAGGAACATCTGTAACAAGGTTCCATGTGTTTCATGGTCCACTAGCTTGGATGGAGGGATGTGGATGTGTCTTTGTCGTATTTCAATGTATTTCACAGTTTTTCCCAAGTGCGAACACCCGCAGCCTCAGCTTCCAAGCAGGTCACCACTAGGCCACGAGCCCTGCAAGCCCTGGAAGTCGCAAGAGCCTGGATGATTGGACATGTCCAAACTAATTATATGAAGAACATGAAGCCTGAGCCGTCTTCACCCAGAGAAGCTCTGAAACCTTACATCCTGCTTTTCAGACTTCTCATTCAACCACAGCAAGGACCCCTTCCAGCTCTTCGAACGAACGCAGCGCGGCAGAGCGTTCCCGCGGGCGCGGCGGCAGAGCGGGACGCCTCCGAAAAGGCAAAGTCACCCTCGCCCACCGCCAGGGTGCGACAACGAGCGGGGAGCAGCCTCGGCATCGGCTCGGAGAACCCCCGGTGGACCGTGGACCGCGCTGCGTGAAGAACCCGACGGAGAGATGAACACCAGCATCACACGGCATCACCGGATCTCGGCCCCCGAGCTCCAGCGCCTTCTCGTCACCTGGCAGGGGCGATGACGTAATTGCTCAGTGCAGGTGGTTTCTGAACACCGGGTTTCGCACCTGTTGGATGTAGGACCTGTAGGATGTCGATATAGATGATCAATACAAGTATATTTATCAATGTATATCAAGTCAAGGTATCTCAAGGTACCTATCTGTTTTATATAGCAAGCAAACAAAAGAACGTGAAGGGCAAACCACTGTATGATCTACACTCGGACGTCATAGAGTCACATATACTACAAAATGTTATATATCTCAATATTATTCGTTTTCACAATAAGAATCACAAAATATCACAAATATTCGACACAAACAATGACTTGCAGTAACAAAGTTCAAATCCTATTCACGTATTCCTCACACTCCTTTTTGAGGGCTGAGTTCCTCCTGGAGATGCCCGGCGAGGCTCGAGGCGAGGCTGCCCGGCTCCTGAAGGCCAGGCGAAAATTCCCTTTGCACCAAGGGCAGCGACGCCGAAAAGTGGGATTACCCGTAAGAAATCCTAAGAAGAAGGCTTTCTTTAAGCCCTTTTCTGTAGGAATGAGTCTGGAATGCCCTAACCCTTGCACTTGTTATGCAAGAGCGCGACTGTAATCGTTGCGGCAACTAGGGGATGAAAGCGACAGACTTGATGCCGGCGCACTTTGCGACGGATGCAACAAGTTCTGAAAGCTCTTCATTGGAGCTAGCATCCCAAAGTCGAATCTTTCCATCGTCGCAACCTGTGGCCAGCTGACCATTCTCTGCAAAGCTGGCGGATAAAACGTTGCTAGGGTGACGATATGTGGCGAGTAATTCTGCTGTGCCCGGCGCCCAAACATGCACCAAGCAGTCGTCCGAAGCAGAAGCAAGCAGCTTGCCATCTGGGGAAAATGAAACTGAGTTCACCAAGTCTGTGTGACTCGTAAAGGCCTGAAGGCAAGCTCCAGTCCGCGTGTCCCACACCTTGGCCTTCTTATCCACCGCACCGGTGGCAATGGAGTGCCCATCCGGCGCAAAGGCCACCGAATAAACGCGCCCCGAGTGTCCCTCCCCACGGCGGCCATCCCAGCTTCGAATCCGCTCGCCCGTGCGTCGATCCCAGAGCGCGAAGCAGTAGTCGTCGGATCCCGTGGCCAAGACGTGGCCGTCCGGCGCGGGGGCGACGGTGTTCACGTCGCGAGTGTGCCAGTTCAAGGACATGAGCTCTTGACCGGAAGAAAGGCTCCACAAGCGAGCGGTCGCATCGCCGCTGGCGGAGAACAAGGTGGGAGTCACAGGACAAAAGCTGATGGAATAGACTTGTCCTCGGTGCCCTGTCAGAGTCGCGTGAGGCGATCCAGAGTCACGTGAGGCGTCGCGTTGCCAAATGGCGACCTGGCACTGCTGAAGCACCGTGCAGCGACTGAAAAGTGATGTGTCCCTTGATATGGTCTGGAAGAAATGTTTGTTGGCGTTCAAAAAGTCCAAATCCTGGAATCCTGTGGAAAGACGTGCATCTCACGCTAAACTGCTCGCGCTAGTGAGGTGTCTTCATTGATGATTCTTCATGTGCTCAGTATCAAACTTGTCGAACTCTTCTGCCACGTAAATCATCGTAAATCCACTTATAACGCCTGTTCCTAATCGCTGGGCTGCATGGAGCTAGAAGCGCTAGGAGTCTGGCATCCCTCAACGATTTCACACCGACAGCCCCAGATCTGGCCCCACCTGGCGATCAGAGCCGGCGGTGGCAAAGAGAGCACCGTCAAATGAAACCGCCGCCGCATTCAGTTCCGCTCCATGGTGAAAGTCATCCACCTTGGGGAGGTGTGAGGGCTGCTGTTCTTGCGAAGCAGGAACTCGATGGGTGGTTTTCCTGTTTCACCACGAAGCCCTGTCCGAACATCAAAGTGACTGCAGTGTTTCCCGCAAAAAGAAAAACAAACAGGATGAGGGTGGGTAAGTTTACAAAGAAGTATACGATCTATTATGTACAGTGTACTATTGGAGTTGTTTTCAACCTTTCCACGTGGCAAGATCGGGCATTGCATGGTCTAGTAGCTAGAGGCCCAACTGCATGCCACATTGCTCGGAAGTATATACAGCGCAAATGCGCAAATCTATGTTCTAAAAAGTTTATCGACAAATATACGTTCAATCAACCTTTGTGTAACACAAAAAAAAAAAGCGACTCCGTCACCATTTCCCCTCACCTTTGTGTGTTCTTCCAAGTCCCAAATACTTCCAGCGCCATCCATGGCTCCTTTGCATATGTCGGCCAAGAAATGCAGCAGTTTCTCTAGTAGGAGGCTGGTTAGCGCTGACATGCGCTTGTCCCTGTTTCTTCAATGAATACCGTCAGTCCTGCCAGAAGCTGTTGTGATCGCACCATAATCATCTGTATCTCGGCTCCATCCCTGACGAACACATTCACTCATATTTTCACCCTCTGCAGACATATATGAGTGCGAAGCTGCAGTGCAGTGAGACGCTGAAGTTAAACAATTATCATAAAATATATAAAATCAGGGGCATGTCTGGGACGTGTTTTTCTACAAAAGACACCCGAAACCCAGGTGGAACACCCGTTGCACGCACGGAGAGAGCTCGGCTCCTGTGGCTTTGTGTGCTTCAGCCGCAGCAGAAGGACGACCTTTCGCGCTGGCCGACCTCTTCGCGCGGACCCTGATCCGATCCTAAGCCCTGCTTCTGCGAGAGTTTGAGAGCTAAAGATCTGCTGCCCCTCATGGAAGAGCTTCACCTCGGGGACGCGGCTGGTTGCGTCAAACAGGTTGCTTGCCGGAGGTCATAAACCGATCAGGATCGTAAATAGGGGGCTTCATGAACAAAAGGTGTCCCATATTTGGAGTGTAACACCTCTTCATATGGGGGCCTGGGGGGGTGTTATTCATCAACAAGCTCTAAAAACATGCTTCGGTGTTCAAGAAGCAAAACGATAGAGAACATTAATTTTTGCGGAGAGGTCAGCCAATCCACATATATATATATAGTTATATAATATATGTATATATTATATATATATATGTTTGTTGTATATTATACTTTTTTGTTTGACTCATCCCCATGTCTATCAAAACATATCAAAACTGGGAGGCCAAGACACCCCAGAAGAAAAGAAATGTACCAAAACGCATTGATTGGGGATTCCATGTGAAGTTTCATGACCATACAAGCCTCCTAACGTGAAACGGCAGCCAAGATGGCCCAAAATCTGGTGCTCGTCGCTTGCACAAGGCCCTTATTGCCAACAATAAGATCGATAAAGTTCCAACTAAAAGCTTCGTCGTTTGTGCCAGCGACCTAACTAGGGTGCCTGCTCCTTGTGAAAGAGCTACAACCGTCTTTAGGCGTCATAATTATTGTTTATCTTTGAGTCTTTGGGCATATATCCTGCGCCGTTTCCTATCAATCCAACTCTCACTCCGTGCGCAAAGGCCAGGTTACCATGATCGCTTCATGTCGCCCACACAAACCGCCTCTTGTCTACTGAAGCTGCGTTTGAAGTGCGGGCGAACATCTGCAATCCATTCGCTGGCGACAAGGGCACGTCATGGCACCCCCAGGACTCGGATCCTGGTCGATTGGACCTTGAATTGTCAAGCAACTTCGGTTTTGGTGCCGTTTTCTTCGGGGCAGGGACTCCACGTCAGGCCGAGCTGCAAAAAATCCACATCCACAGACCTGTGGATCCCAAAATCTCCAGGGTTGAGTCACTTTCCCATCCCCAAAACTCTCCCCCCGACCTGTCTATCTGGCCATGCAGCTGGCCCGGCGCCGCCCACGAGCCGCTTCAGCTCGGCCACCGAGGCCCCAGGGGCGAGACGCAGCGAAGCCAGGCACTCGCCCGACAGGCCGCCGAGGGCCTCGGGAGGAACAGACCGCCGCATGTGTCAAGTTGGGCGGGCGGTCTGTTAAAAAAAAAGGAAAAAAATACCTGGTTACTACTAGTAAGGCACTTGTTACTAGAAGCGATGCACTTGTTACTAATAGAAACAAGATAACAAATAAAAGAAACAATGAGCACAATATAATGTTTTCTCTTTTTCGTTGTGTGTGTGTTGAACATCAGTTTCCCCAGTTCCAAGAGACCGGCATCGCGCGATCACTTTGGGATGAGTAGTTATGATGCGACACCCATCTCAGGTCAAGGATCAACATTTTCCACGCGAACACATAATCTACCAAACCAAACGAGACCAAGCGAGTCTTCCCCACAAAACTAGTTTGTCAACTGGGATAAGATACTATATCAAACATTGTCAAACCGCCACATGGGGTGGTTGAAAACAGCACAATCATTGTTCTTGAGCTTTGAAAAAAACGTATCGCCCATCCAAAAAAATCGCACGGAACAACAAACAACGCAATATATCCCTAGGGATCCAAGTACCTTCTCAGAAGGTGTTTGGGGTGGGTTTGGAGGGTCCAAGTGCCTTCTGAGAAGGTACTTGGATCCCTAGGGTATATATATATATATATATATAGCAGGGCTTCAGATCTCTGAAGATCTCGTTTTCGACGTTCGATTCCCCAACAGCAATCTATCAGACAAGTCCACACATGTCACATGTCACATATTTTTCCGGTGCTTGTCAGGGTCCAAACCACCCTAATTACTGGGCATGCGAGCCACAGCAGTTGGGCATAGAAGGGTAATAGTCATAACAGTGGCGGTAGGGTTAGAACCACATGAGGTGGTTGACGGTCACCTTTGCGTTCTTTCAGTTTATTCTTGCCACTTGAAACACCGTTGGCTGAAAAAGGAAAACATGTCCGATGTGGGACTTTGTTCAGACTCAACCCGCTTCAAAGTTCTCCGAAAGGTCAATCTTTAAGGTCGGTTTGTTTGGGGTCCTTTGAATTACAACTGGCCACTGAGTTATTCAAAAATGGCAGAGGGGACAAGCGGCTAGCAAAAGGTTGCAATGTTTTTAGGCTGTTCCTTCTTGGGAACCCAGGACTTGAGGCCGAGGGTAGGTGACGAAAGCTAGCAGGGGTGCATCCGGACTGGTGGGACATCAAGCGGAGTGAGGCAAATGCTCATGAGGTAAAACGTTGTGAACATGTAAGACACACAAACAGCAATGACACAGCCAACCTTAGAATTGAAGTCCCCGATAATTAAGGAAGCGTGGCTGGACTTTGCCACACTGTTCGATGCATCCGATGTGTTCACGAACCTGTGAGCTTGTTGAATCTGTTGCACCGTATCCATCCGTATCCCAAAACCTCCACGGAGGAGTTGAACCAGTGTGGATGCCATAAGAGGTGCCCAAGAGGTGTCCCAGAGGCAAAACAAAGCTGCTTGCATGATTTGTTTGGTTTCTTCTATCGATGTCGATGTCATGAACATGTGAGCTTGTTGAATCTGCTGTTGGATCGTCATGTATATGTAATGAGGGACTGAAGAAAAGCAACGCAGCATCATGAGCATCACGGGAAGTCACAAACCAGGCGTATCAGATACACCTGGTTTATGTATGTTTGTTTGAGCATCTTTGTCGAGTGAAGTGTCAGCCATATGCACTGAGATGCCGAAGGAAGCTCAAAGGCATGTGTATCTGATATGCCTGGTTTCTGACTTCCCGTGATGCTCATCATTGAAGCCTTGAACCCTCGCGTAAATTTCATGTTTCATGCCCCCCCCTTCCAAACTCAAACAGTGGCCTACTTCACCTGCCACCTAAACATAGCACTATAGCACGTACCGGAAGCGTCCCAGGGGGGAGTTGAACCCGCGGGGGGGGGGGG